ATCCGCAAGCACCATGTATGGAAAATGGTAGATACACTAAGAGATACCCTCGAGCTTTCACAGAAACAACAATTATGGATCAAGATGGATACCCTATCTATCGTCATCGCAATAATGGTCAAGTACATACTGTGAGGGGGCAATAAGTTAATAACAGGGATGTCGTACCATATAATGCATATCTTTCTAAACTTTTCAACTGTCATACAAATGTGGAAGTTTGTGCCGGAATGAGATGTGTCAAGTATATACATAAGTACATTTATAAGGGTTATGATCGTACAACGATGGTGTTAGGAATGATAAATGAGATTCAACGATATCTCGATGCAAGGTATATTGGACCTCCAGAAGCTGCTTGGTGAATATTTGGTCATCCTTTGCATGCAGAGATGCTAACAGTTGTACGATTGACACTTCATTTACCTGGAATGCATCGCGTTGTTTTTAACCCAGAAGAGTCATTAGAAACAATTCAATCTAGAGCTGGTTAACAAATGTTAACTCTTACTGGCTTCTTTGTATATTGTGCTGCCAGTGAAGATGAATGTCTATTCACTTATTAAGAATTTTCACAACATTTTGTGTGGCTCAAGTCAGAAAATAGATGGAAATCAAGAGAAAGGGGATATGCAATTGGTAAAATGTCCTTTGCTAGCCTTAATTGTGGTGAAAGATTTTATCTGCGTTTGTTACTAACCGTTGTCAAAGGACCAAAGTCGTTTCAGTCTTTACGCACGATAATGTTGTGCATGATACATTTAAATTAGCATGTGTTACAAGAGGACTTTTAGAAGATGATGAAGAATAGATACAATGCTTGAAAGAGGCTACAGTTATAAAAACTGGATATCAATTGAGGAGGTTGTTTAGTATTATTCTCACCCAGTGCTCTTCACTAAATCCATGTGCATTATGGAATCAGTTTTCAACGCATGTATGTGATGATCTTGCACATAAGATTCGTACATTGTTTGTCATTTCTAACCCAACTGAGGCTCAAATTGAAGATTATGGTCTCTATCTTTTAAATCGAATGCTTCATGAATCAGGCAAAAGTTTAATTGACTTCCCACCTATGCCACAACCTACTGCAAATTAGAGTGCAATAGTTGGTAATTGATTGATATTCGAACATCAACAACTGCAGAGTGAGGCACAACATGCAGATCTACAAATTACTATTGATTATCTCAATAATGGACAGTGGAATGCTTATAATACAATCACTTCTTCAGTTTTCCAAAATAAAGGAACTATTTTCTTTCTGAATGGGGGTGCTGGAACAAGGAAAACATTTCTGTACAATACGATTACATTAAAATGTCGCAGCCTTGGGTATATCGTTGTTACTGTGGCTTCGTCTGGAATTGCATCATTGTTACTAGTAGGGGGTCGCACTGCACATTCAACATTTTCCATTCCGTTAGATGTATTGGAAAATTCACTTTGTGAGTTTAGCAAACAATCATTACAAGCTGAGTTATTTAGAGAAACAAAACTCATAATTTGGGATGAAGTTCCTACGCAACATAGACATTGTGTTGAGGCGGTTGATCATACATTGAGAGATATTTGTGATAGTGAAAAGCCATTTTGGGGTATTATTGTTGTTCTTGGTGGAGACTTTTGACAAATCTTACCAGTTATACCCAAAGGAGTTCGTGAGCAAATTGTGAATGCATCATTAAGACACTTTATTCTATGGAAGCATATATATATCTTAACTTTGGATTTGAATATGCGTTTGAATCATGAAGGCCGTGAAAATGCTAATTTTGCAAATTTCTTGATGGAGGTAACACTACTTTAACCTTTATTATATAGATTATTTTAAATTTATAAATTGTGTTTACACTCTTACTTTTTTATTGATTTCACTTTTTTTTTTATAGATCGGGACCAATCCTCAAGAAATCATTAACCTTCCATCAACAATACACAAATGTCAAGATTTGAATGAATTACTCTCTATAGTTTATCCACAATTGAATATGATAGAGACGTCAACCCCAACATTTTTAATTGAACGCACAATTCTGTCTGTGCGTAACGATGATGTCAGTGACATTAATACGACTGCGTTGAATATCTTTCCAGGAGATTATATATTTATCTTGCAGCAGATAAAATGTTTGAAGATAATGAAATTGATCCTACCATTACAAATAGATATCCTAATGAATATTTAAATTCATTGGATCCTCCTGGGCTGCCAACTTTTAAGTTAGAGTTGAAAGTGGGTTATCCTATAATATTGTTGAGAAACATTGCACCGAAAGATGGACTATGTAATGGTACAAGATTGATGGTTACTAGGTACGACACTCGCATAATTGAAGCTCAAATTTTAACTAGAGAAAAGTTTGGCAATTTGGCATTCATACCATGGATATCTTTGACACCATCTTCTTCAGAAATGCCTTTCCAATGACAAGACGTCAATTTCCAGTCTGATTAATAAATCTCAATGACAATTTGTGAAATTTGTTGGGGTTGATTTGCGTATACTAGTGTTTAGCCATAGGCAATTATATATGGCATTGTCTAGATATACATCCTTTGATCGTATAAGTATTCTCCTCCCTAAAGATGGTTTGGATTCTACTACAAATATTGTTTATCTTGAACTGTTGTTGTAGTATTCTATGTAGATTAAATGACGTTTTATCAGAAGGTAATCATGTAGATTTATTTCTATTGATTATATAACTTTTTATAAAATTTCAATTTAATAATAATTTGAAATTTAGACTTTTGTAGGATTGGATTGAAAAATCTATAGAGCTTAAAAGGAGAAATACAACTAGCTTGCTTCGATGGGGATGGAATAAGGTAATTTCAATCTTAAAGTATTTTGATATGTATATTTCCAACAAATGTACTAATCTATATTTTTTTTGTTTACACAAATTACCAAATTGTTGTACATATATTTGAAGAGGAAGTTTGGGCAAACATATATTTGAACACATCTTTTGAAAAGCTTTAACCCACTTTTTGTAAAGTTTTAACCCACTCTTTTGGCGTATGACAATATAACTTTAATTTCTGTTTTTTGTTCAGTGTTTACACTTTTTTTTTACTGCCTTTTATATTTTGATATGTATTATAACTTTAAATCTTATATGTTTGTTTCTTAATTTGCATTAAGATTAGGGGGGGTTATTATTTTATTTGAGTTTTGTAGAGCGTGTAATACAAGCAAATTTGTTATAAGTTCTTTAAGAAAAAAAATATTTCAATATATTTTTTCAGTATCTTTATCAAAAAATGGCACAAACTTCATAAATCTCAACATAATACGTATAAATTATAACTCCATTTTAATCTTAAAATTATTTACACCGTGCTTTTAGGCACGGGCATACGCTAGTTATTATATATTATGTCATTTCATTTTTCTCAATCACTTGATACAAAATCATAAAATCTATCTTATTCACCAATCCATAATACCTAAAAATATTACGTAATTGTATTTCAAAAACATCCAATGTGAGCCATACAATAATTTTAGGTAATAATTTATGGGTTTGTATCTCTAAATAATTTTCCAACGATTAAACCGTGACTGGTGGTGACAGTAAGGCCTTGTTTGGGATACTCTAAAAAAGTAAAAAAGTCACTATTCTATTTAAGTCACATCACCTCTTTATCACATCATTTCAAACCCAATCCATACCTAACGTATATTTTACAAAAAGTCAAAAAGTACACTTATTTAAATAATCTCAAACCGCCCCTAAAAACTCACACAATGACGCAAATGAGAAGTAAATTGATGTAAGGTTTTGACAATTAGTGCCAACGTGTCCACACACTTCATGGCTATCTCCGCCGAGGTAATTATTTGGTAATTCTAAAATATGGGTACTCATATTTCATGGTATTATGATTGGTAAAAAAATAAATAAATGAGATATTGTATTAGGTGATTGGAGAACATAAGAAGCATATTAGAGCATCCCCAGCAGATGTCTTCTATCACATTCTTACTCAAAATAAGGGATTTTGCTGTCAAAAAACACCCCATCAGATCCCTTAACCCACCCCTCAAATAAAAGTGTTGCTACAGTTGCTCTCCAAATGTAGGGAGCAACTGTTCACCCCCAAAAATATAAAATTATTTTTTTATTCAATCTTGAGCATCTCCATCCCCAAAAATATAAAATAATTAAAAAATAATATTTTATTAGAATAGAGAAAAAATAAGAAATTTGTTGGGAAAAATAGATGAAAAAATGATTCCTAAAATAGGAAATAAAATTTTTAATAATATTTTAGGATAAATTCTTATTTTATTTCGCACGCTTGGATATCCCCGAACATCCACCGGTCGACTGCCCGGTCATCCGGCGGGTCGACCGCCTTTCGTTGTAGAGAAGCTATCATCTTGTATGTTGTGTTCTTACTTTTGTTTTAATTATTTTATTGTTAAAAAAATATTTAAATTTAAAAGTAATGAAAAATATTATTTTAATAGAATAAAGAAAGAATATGGAGTTTGTTGAAGGAAGTAAATAAAAAAGTGATTCCTAAATATAGGGAATAAATTTTTTAATAATATTTTAGGATAAAAGTTCTGTTTGGTAGAGCTTATTTTCAACTTATTTCAGCTTATTTCAGCTTAATTTAAGCTATTTTGATGTGTTTGGTTCAACTTAATAATACAGCTTATAGCTTTTTGTAAGTCAAAAATCAACTTATTTTTTGAGTGGGAGAGGAAAAGTTTAATTTATAAGTCAAAAATCAATTTATGTTCACAATTATAAGTTATAAACTATTAGGTTATAAGTTATAATTACTTTGGGGTGATGATTGAGACCCTCTCTAATCATTACCCCACCACCCCATACACACGTGGCGGGTGGTGATTGAAAGAAAAGAAAAAAAAAGGAAAGAAAAAGAAAAAGGAACCAATCATAAGAAGAGGGGGTTAAGGGAGTAAGTAAAAAAGGGGGTCCAAGTATTATTCGGGTGGTATTTTAGAAATATTTAATAATTTCCCATCTCCGCCCACTTACCATCTGCCGCCTTCTTATTGGACCACTATGTTCTCCATTTATAACTCTCTCTCTCTCTCTCTCTCTACCCGATCGCATCGCTTTAGATTCGTCGTGTCGAGTACGGTATTTCCTCATCAGTTTCCCTTTCGCTAAGTAGGGTTAGGGTTTATGCTTAAATTTCTGATTTTTTTCCAAGTTATTTGTGCACTTGATTGTATTGTTTCTTTTGTAGATCTGATATCGTTGACTATTTGGTTAATAATTGCCTTTTCGTTCTGGTTACTGGTAATCATGTCAATCAAACTAGTCACTGCAATTGTGGTTCAAATACGGGGGAAAATAATAAAATTTTTTTTTGAATTGTTGAATGATGATATTACTGGCCTGTGTGAGTTTATATATATCTACATGTATATACAATTATGAAAATACCTATACTACGGGGTTTATAGGTATATTGAAGGCTATGTATATGGTTTTTGTTCCTTCTGTTTTCTTGACAAGCAAACAGAGGGTTACAGTACTCAGGTTAGTTTCTGGAATATGTTTAATACGGAGACAAGTGAGATGTTGATTCTTAGATGTGAAAAGTTATGGGATGTGAAAAGTTAAATGCTGTTGGCCAAAAGTGTCAGCTAATTGGTCTAGTTGAGGACACTGAGTTTCAAAATTGTATAATTTTAACAAATTTTAAGAAATCACATTTTAACAAATTTTAAGAAATCAGGACATGACAAGAAAACATATAAATGTATAATTATACATATCTATGAGAATAATAAAATATACATATCTATGAGAATAATAAAATATTTTTCATATTTTATGTTACAAATACTCTTCTTTTTTGTTCTTTTTTCTATTTATTTTCTATTTATAATTATTATATAAAGATAAAGAAGTAATAGATCTTTTCTCACATTCTATATTTTGGGAAAAAGTGTGAACAAGCTAGCTCTATCCACAAACAAGTTAGAAGGCTTAGGATTTAGAACTGTATATGTATAATTATACACAAACAAGTATTGTTGTCTGACACAAACACTACACCTTATCAGAAGTGTTCATGCTTCTTTGGTTGAAATTGAATAGTTGTTATACCTATTGGTCATGGAAGAATGTTTTACATGTTATTGATGTAAGCGGTTATCATGTTTATGGTGGATTTATGTGGAATTACTTCGCAGAAGTAGGTATTAGTTCACTATAACAAAGATGGCGTCAACCGAGTCATCACGTGAGGAAAATGTTTACATGGCCAAATTGGCCGAGCAGGCTGAAAGATACGAAGAAATGGTTGAATTCATGGAGAAAGTGGCGAAGACTGTGGATGTTGAGGAGCTAACTGTGGAGGAAAGAAACCTCCTTTCTGTGGCTTACAAGAACGTGATTGGGGCTAGGAGAGCTTCTTGGAGGATTATCTCTTCCATCGAGCAGAAGGAAGAGAGCCGTGGTAATGAAGATCATGTCTCCATTATCAAGGAGTACAGGGGAAAGATTGAGGCAGAACTCAGCAAGATCTGTGATGGGATTCTGAGCCTTCTTGATTCTCATCTCGTTCCTTCTGCCTCATCTGCAGAGTCCAAGGTGTTCTACCTTAAGATGAAGGGTGATTACCACAGGTACCTTGCTGAGTTTAAGACGGGGGCTGAGAGGAAGGAAGCTGCTGAGAACACCTTGTTGGCTTACAAGTCTGCTCAGGTGAGTTGTCATTGTGCCATTAATGCTATTTTTTCTTTTACTAACTTGTCCATATTGCTATACATGGTATTTTTTGTTCCTTTGGCGCAGGATATTGCTTTGGCTGAGTTGGCTCCTACTCATCCAATAAGGCTGGGGCTTGCACTTAACTTCTCCGTCTTCTACTATGAAATCCTTAACTCACCTGATCGTGCTTGCAACCTTGCGAAGCAGGTATTGCTTGCTTAAATGCTTTATTTATGTATTTTCTGTTCCTATATTTCTGCCGTCACTTGATTGATAATACTTTTCATATATGCTTGGAGCATGTTTGATGTTGGATATTTTGTTAAATATGCGGAGATAGCGAAGAAAATATGAAATATGCCACCAACTTTGAGTCCTCAGGTTTAGATGTTATATTACATGTCATGATCTCATGGCATTGAATTGGAATACAACAAAATATGTGCAAGCTTTAAAACTTGTCATGTAGAAAGCATCTGTCTATGATATGTGACTGGGTACACTGAATGTAACAATTTGTCTTGGATGTATTTTTTGGCTGCTAAAAGTAGGCCTATGAAGATCTTTTAAAACTTAGGCTGCTGATAATGTTTTCAATTAGTTCCTATGGCCGAACTGTTTTATTGTGTTTTCTCCTGATAAAACTCATTGTTTCTTCCTTGGTAGGCTTTCGATGAAGCTATATCTGAGCTGGATACGTTGGGTGAGGAATCATACAAGGACAGCACATTGATCATGCAGCTTCTCCGAGACAATCTGACGTTGTGGACTTCGGATATCACGGTCTCTCTCTCTCTCTTTCCTTATATACATAGCTTGTGTGTGTGTGCCTTTGCTTGCTTGCATGTGTGCATATAACGTATATGTTGCTCACTAGGATTCTGGAGCTATTATATTCCTGCAGTTGTTATAGTTTTATTCCTTATCTAACTCGAGTACTTGATTTTTGTCCATTACTGCAACTTGGTATGGGCTTGGTGTGATATTATCATGAATTGGACCAGGAGCAGGGTCTGGAGTGCTGGCTTGATTGATGATACAAACTGAAATTAGTACTTGTGCCAATACTAATTTCCTGTTGTGAAACTAACCAACCAAAACAAATTTCTAATCTGAGCATGGGTTTAGTCACAGAACTATAAATCTCTGTCCATCTATGTTTGGCTTCAATTGTTCCCAATTTTGTTAGCCAATTAGGCCTTGAGGAGCCAAGTTCCATAAAAGAGCCTTGGAACTGTCTCAATGCGCTGGCTTGTTGGGAAATTTTAAATACTATTTTGACTCAAATTGAAGTCAACATTATTGTGGTCTGCATGCTTTGTGTGGACATCTTCTTTTTTTTCCTTTTGTCAATTATGGTATAGGTATTCTGTAATGATATATTTGTTCAATTTCAGGATGAAGGGGGGGATGAGATCAAGGAAGCTTCAAAACGGGAGTCTGGAGAGGGGCAGCAGCAGTAGGAGATGTATTTTGTACTTTTCATATGTCCTTAAATATAGATTGCATTTGGGTGAATGTATAAAGACTCAGATGAATTGGAAGATCTTGACTGCTTGCATGCTTGAAGTTGTAGTGTTCCTATAGGTTGTAAGCTTGTTTTTCCATCTCTGGTGAAAAAGGATATGACTGAGTCATTGATGGCTATGTTATTTGAATAGTCCTTGCATTATTTATTTTTGACCTTGTGGTTATGGTTCACCTATTGGGACAACCACTTTGTGCACTATACCAAAGATTAGGTGTGTACTTAATCTTTTCTCTCCTAAACACACATTAATGTGTACTAATTGGGCGTTTTTTTTTTTTCCGTAATGGTTTGAGGTGATTGTTGATGCTTTGGATTTGGTTCTTGGCAAACAATTTAGCTAGTTATTCTTCAAAATGACCTTTCACCATGAAGAACAAAATTTGATTTTTTATTCAGCGTTATGTGGGAATTGCGATTCATGTGGATATTCGACTCCCTCCTATTCTTATGGATAGCAATGACTTCTGTATCTAGATTCCTAAGCACAAGAGTTTTGTGTGTTGCTGTTTTAGAATTCTGGGAGATAATGGATCCAGAAATTTCACTTCTGCAGTTGTAGTTAGTTCATGGGTAAAAATTCATTCTTAATTGTAAAGTTAAAATGGTGCCACAATTTGGGCAACAAACAAAAAATGCATTGCAAGACATCCAAACTTAGAAAGGATTACACAATTTGGGGTACAAATGGATGCTCTCTGTTTTGTATAATATGCAGGGTCTCTGGGTGGTAATGGAGATGGAGGGTTGTGGAGGGGTGAAAATATTGGCCTAAGGCCCGATCATGTTAGGCCCAAAACCCAAAAGTCAAGTCCAACCAAGCAATCTGAAATCATGGAAAGCCCAAACCACTGATGGGTCCGATGGAGAAAGGGACAATGTCACGTGACTAAAGTGTGAGTAAAATCGTCTTCTAAAATAAGATCTACAGAATGCAAAAGGATCGTTAGATTAATCCATGACGAACGGTGAGGATCATAATCGCCAGGGATTGGTGAATAGACCTAGCTCGTATAAATAAAATGGGCGTTCGATGAACATGATTAGATGAATGAGGTAATTGGCAGGTTGTCCCTAAGAGGCCTGACATAATCTGAGTTATACAGAGCAAAGCAATCTAACGGCAAAAAATTGAAGCAACATGGCCACTTGCCTGACCAAAGTCTGGCGGTAACCAAGACCGTTAGATGAAGGTGCCGATCCAACGATCAAGACTAGGACTACAACGCTATAAAAGGGAAAGTAAAGGAAAAAAAATGGGAGGAAGAAGAAAGAAAAAGAGAAGAAGTATAAAGCTTACCTCCATAAATAAATATTACGCTGCCGATCTCATGTCTAACTTGATCGTCAGAGGATTCTCCCGGCCAAATCTGTTTGGGAGGTATCACTAACCAATTGGTTTTTCTTTTCAAGAGTAAAAGAAGGGCCATCTCATCTCACATTTTCTATGGAGAATCTTTTGTCTTTCACAAGGGTGATTAGTGATTCTCAGCGATACTGATGAAGAATAATAGTGATTTTGAGTGGACATACAGTGAGATGAAAGAGAATGAAAAAAAGAAAAAAGAAAAGAGAGAGATATAAGTAGATAAGGAGACAATTTAGTATTTTTGTCTTTTAAAATCTTTTATTTTTATACTTTGATGTTGATTTCATGATAACTGTCACAAATAAAATTTTAAGGGTTTTGAAAGTGGATTAATTTTTTAGTTTTTTGATTTTTTTTGACTATTTTATTTTGGCACTAAAAAATTTCGTTTGGAAAGCACTATTTGATTTTTTTAATTTTTTGTGAGAGAAAGAATATAATGATTATGAATTAAATGTGATATTTTATTTTATTAGACTAAAAAATTTATTTTATTTTTATTTTATTATATTTTTTTGGGGATTATTTTAAAAAAAAAAAAAAAAAAAGTCCCAAGCTTTGGCTCTTTGAACCACAAAAGACAGAATAGGCTATTTGAGTCACAACAGACAAAATATCACATCTAACTCATAATCATTACACTTTTTTTTCAAAAAAAATAAAAAAAGTCAAAAAGTCCTTCTCAAACCAAGCTTTTGAGCCCAGACTTAAATAGCTAAAAAAGTCAAAAAGTCAAAAAATCAACTCACTTCCCAAACGGAGGCTAAAAGAGTTATGTTGGAGATATTAAAAATTTTATTAAATATTTAAATAAATATGGTGTGGAGTAAATCCTTGTGAGATATTTATACAAATATTTAATAGAATTTTTGAAAATTTTAACATTTTTTAAACTAAAAATTAAATAAAAAAAAATTGAGAGGGACAAAAGAGCGTAAATATATTCATAAAAAATATTCAGAGAGACAAAAGAGCGTAATTATAGCTTCCGTTTTGGGAAGTGGGTTGACTTTTTAATTTTTTAGTTAGTATTTTAATTTGGGTTATTTTGGCTTGATTTGGGAAGGACTTTTTGAATTTTTGACTTTTTAAATTTTTTTTATGAGAGAGAATTGTAATGATTATGAATTAGATTTATTTTTTATGACTAAAAAAGTAAATGAAAAAGTGATTCCTAAAATTGAGAATGAATTTTTTAATAATATTTTAGAGTCAAATTTAGGTAATAAATTTGTCATTTTAAATTTAAACATCATTTCAACACACTTTCCAATACAACAACTCAACTAAAAATTCATCTCATCTTCCCAAATACAAAACTAAAATAGCCTACTAAAATAGTCAAAAAGCCAAATAGCCTACTAAAATAGCCACTTCCCAAACGAGGCCATTACCAAATCTACCCATATTCACAATGAAATGTACACCCACCTGACTCTCTCTCTCTCTCTCTCTCTCTCTCTCTCTCTCTCTCTCCTCCTCTGTTTACCAACGCAATATCTGTTAATATCTCTCTCTCTCTCTCTCTCTCTCTCTCTCTCAGGGGCTCGGGAGAAGATGGACAGTTAGGAATTGGAAACAACGAAGAGAAAGAATGGGTTTGCGCAATCAAATCTCTTCACTCCGAAACAGTTCGCTCTATTGTCGCCGGTAGTCGTAACTCTCTCGCCATTTGCCAAGACGGCAAGGTCCCCCCCCTTACCCTCTCTCTCTCTCTCTTAAAATGATCTTGTGTATAGTATAGTTAGTTATATGCTTATATACTGCTTAGGGGTACAACATGTCCGATCATAGTTTGATTGATTTTAGCTCATAACCTTTTGTTTTCAGATCAGCTTAAAGTTAAGTTTATCTAAATTTCTTTATTTATTTTGAAACATCTCAGTTGTTTACTTGGGGCTGGAATCAAAGAGGGACTTTGGGGCACCCACCTGAGAGCAAAACTGAGAATGTCCCCAGTCAGGTTAAAGCCCTTGCCAATGTCAAAATTGTTCAGGTAATAATCCAAATGTTTCAGCTTTGATTTTGAATTCCAGATAGTTGGTTGGTGTGCTTTTTTTGGTGTAATTTATTTATTGATGGTTCATTGATTTCAGGCCGCTATTGGGGGGTGGCATTGTTTGGCTGTTGACGATCAAGGCCGAGCTTATGCTTGGGGTATAATATCATTTCTTTTTACCCTTGCCCATTTAGTTGTTGTTACCTTTTCTTTTTGGTTTTCTGGGATGTGGGGACTATTTATCTCAACTATGCACACAATCATGCCCTCCCTCCACACTTGAATGGAGAACTATGTTCATTTTTATTATACATACTGCCATTTGGAGGCACTTACTTGTTCCGTTGGGCACACAAACTTAGATGCATAAGCCGATTTCTTTGTTGGATTTGTGTTGGATTACCTGATAAGGTGCCTGTTGCATTTTGGACTAGCTAGAGTCTGAAAATGCATTTCATAATTTCTGAAATTTGGCCAACGTTTCTTGTAATCTTCTTAATGCCTGGCCCTTTAACCATTTTTAAAACATAGATACGTTAATTATGGGAGAGGGAGGGAAAGGGGAAAGAAGAGGAGGCTATGCTTGCTTGGATATTCATAATAGTATTGTATATCTATATCCCTAGATATTTATGTTATATATATGTATATATATTACCTTTGGCGATTATGTGACACTTGATTCCTTTGTTGATTATGTGATAATACGGGGCAAGCGGAACAGAAGAGCGTTTGTGGGCATTGAGATGCTGGTTTTGAAGATTAAAAATATTTTTTTTGGTCCAATTTGTATAGTTGGTGTTCCAATGGTTAATCCATCTTTGGACCAAATTTTAATTTTTTTTAGAGGTCTTGGAATAGGTTTGTTTCCATGTATCGAGATTATAGGCCTTTTTGTATATGGGTTGTGCATCATCCCCTTGGTGCCTTTTTTAATAAAATTATGCATATAAGTTTTTTACACACACACACACATATATATTGCCTTGTCCTTCCAATTCCATTGTATCCTTTATTATTAGAATTCATCATGTTTCTCTGTCTGTGTCATGTACTGCATTTATGTCCATGCAATGCAGTACCTTGCTTTTGGGAAGTAATTGCATCTCTTGAAAGCAAAAGAATTATTTTCTAGAAGCTGTCCCAAAGAGCATAGGAGGTTTGATTTTGATTCTTTCCATACATTCTCTTGGTAAACAACACATCGTTAAAAAATTTGTTCATGTGTCAAGAAATATTTTGCTTGTTTCCATTTTTCCAAAAACACTTTTCAGAAAATTCTACATTCTTGTTTTCCGTGGTTTTTTGTTTTTACTAAATTTTTTTAATATTTTAAGCAATTGTTTTTACTTTTTAGACATACCTAACATAAATATACCTAAAAAGTAAAAAAATTGTAAAAAAAACCTTTTAAAAATTCACTAAATACTAAAAATACAAAAAAAATACGAGAATTCAGTACATTTTTTTGTATTTATTAATTTTTTAAAATATTTTTTTATAATTTTTTTACTTTTTAGATATATCTAAGTAAGGTGCATCTAAAGAAGTAAAAAAAATGTTTAAAATTTTAAAAATATTCACTAAAAACAAAAAAACACGAAAATCAAAAAACTCAGTTTTCAAAAAACTTAATCCAAAAAACTCAAACCAAACACACTGACCCATGTTTATTTTTCATTTGGGTATGAATTATGTGTTTTGCAGGCGGGAATGAGTATGGCCAGTGTGGTGAAGAACCTGAGCGAAAAGATGACCCTGGTAGGCCTTTGAGGCGGGATATTGTAATTCCGCAGCGATGTGCATCAAAGCTTTCAGTTCGTCAGGTGATTAACTCATTAATCTGATGTACTTTTTCTGAAAGTTGGATTACATTGAGTCTTTTTGCATTGCTTTTGTTAGTCCACCTATATAGTTTGTCCATTTTACGTTCCAAAAAAAAAAAATGGTGTATAGGAACTCATTTAGTTCTTACCTTGCTCTTTAGATATAACCTCAAGGAAAAAATTTGAATTTCATAATTCATTCTTTCTTAAGGTCAATGGAAATTTAAATATGTGGAGGTTGCAGAAAGGTTGGTTGCTAGATCAGCGTAGTTTTTTACTCTTTTTTTATTTTTTATTTTTATTTTTAATTATCAGATGGTGTAACCATAAGATATGCAAGATATGTCTTATCAATATTTTGGATTTTCAAACCCTCTATTGGTAGTAAAACGAAATGGTATGAAGTTCCTTCAGGATTTACTCAGAAATCATTATATGTATACTGTATATTTTACTCCCATTCAATTTTTGTGTATGCATGCCAATATTCACTTACTTGTCTTGCCGTTGACTGTTCATTAGGACACTTTAAACACTTATATGTTTTTTAGGTGGCTGCGGGAGGTACCCACTCAGTGGTGCTTACACGCGAAGGACATGTATGGACGTGGGGTCAACCATGGCCTCCTGGAGACATGTATATATATCTTGTGAATTATTTTTTCTATTTATAGTAGTTTGTGCACTTTATTGTTTGATTATTTATTTGTTTTTACTTTGTAGAAAGCAAATTTCTACTCCAGTGCGAGTGCAAGGTCTTGAAAGAGTGAAATCAATTGCTGTTGGGGCTTTTCATAATCTGGCTCTCCTTGAGGATGGAGTTTTATGGGCATGGGGTAACAATGAATATGGACAACTTGGAACAGGGGATACCCAGCCAAGATCACAACCTATTCCTGTCCAAGGACTGTCTGGTCTTACTTTGGTTTGTATCACCATCCCCGGTCTGTTATTATTTTATATATTTTATGATAGTTCATTTCCATTAGGAGTCAATGGGTAACACCATATATTGTTTAATTCAGTTTCATCTGAAATTATGACTGCTGGTGCTGGAGTATTTTATTCTACTGGAATAATCTGTGAAGCAAGTTTAGCTCTGTCTAACACCTGTTGTCTATTTTGCTGGCAGATTCAGTGAATTATATTTTTTTTGATGATATACATATAAGAATGTCTGAATCAGAAATCTAATTCTGGATAATCCAAATGCTGCTTTAGTTGTCCTAATAGATGTAAATGTAATTAGAAGCTACATAAAGTCTAGACAATGGATTTAGAAATGGCTTCTATCTTGGGAATTTTGTTTCAAATCATCATTGGAGTTTTCTTTGAGATGCTTTTTGGGTATGGGTACTCTTATTTTTTTCTCTAGACCAGCCAACTCTTTCGTTTCTGTTACGTTAGCTCTCTTCTCTTGGATGGTCTTGGGGAAGACTTTTCTATTGGTATTTGGTCTCTCCTTTGACTGAGGGTAATGCAGCAGAGATTGTGGGTGTTGGGTGAGATCATGGTCCTTGGGTTTGTAGCACTCTAGTGAGAGAGATCTTAGATATCCTAACTAGCACTTCATAAAACTGCTGACAACCAAGCTAGTGCTTTGGCCAGTGAAGGAATGCCCATGATGATTCCAGTGAGGGCCTATTTTAGCCCCCCATGACCTTTGTTTTTGAATTCCCTTGTCTTATGCCCATTTCAATGAATTTAGACCGACAATGTTTGTGTTTGACTAATAGTTTCTTTTTGGTTATGGAAAGCATATATTGGCAGCTAATCCGAACTTTTCTTACTAAACCAGCAGTGAAGATGAAACCTAATTTTTTCAAATCATCTTTTACATATGTACAAGAATTTACCAGCATGCAAATGTTCTAAGAAACTTGTACCTTTTTTAAAATTATTTTTCCTTATTAATAATAGTCCTTTTGTTGCTGATAAAAAATAAATAAAGTGCTAGGACACGCTATAGAAACTCAAAAATTTCATTTACTTGTAAGTTGTAATCACTTCATTGTTTATTTGGTTTCCAGATTTTAGTGATGGCTAGTTTCAAATTAACCATATTGGATGATGGTTATTTATGTGCAAGCAAGAAGTAGATTATGGGCTCTAACTCACAATTATCATTCCTTAAAACCACTTGTTTATAACGTTCATAGTTTAAAGAGTTTTAGAGGCATTTATCTGTATTCTCATGCAGATTGATATTGCTGCTGGAGGATGGCATTCCACTGTCTTGACAGATGAAGGAGAGGTATTGCCTTCATTTTATTTCTTCCAGAGGTTCCATTAATAGTATTTATTACATGGTGTTATTATCACTTCTTGACGCATCTAATCCTTTTGCTAATAGTACAAATACTTCCATAACTTCGATATGGGCACTCACTAAAATAGTACTATGAATTTATTAGTTTGTAAAATTGAGTAGTGACCTAAGTTCTATAATATCTCTTCTGCAGCTAATGCAAAGGTTAGTATGCTGATTTATGAAGTATTATTGGTTTTGCTTCATTTTTCCTGTCCTTTTTTACTAGAACTAGTGCTTATAGGTGCCTTAATCCAAATAGTTGAGGATCTTCTCTGGAACGGAAGGTAGTTTTGGTTTTTTTGTTTTTACTATTCACTACAGGAGGCACAATTGGTTTTTGCTTTCTTAGTCAAGGATGTCTATGATGTTTCTTCTTATTTTTCCAGCACAGTTGACTTGTCTGCTGGGTAAGTTGCCATATATCTTTCTTTTGGATGAATACCTGGTGTAAATATTTTAAGAGAACAAACTGCAGAGGCATTTACTCTTTACAGGGAGAGAGAGAGAGATGTTTTGTGTTGGTGAAGAAAATTCTAGAGAGAGAGAGAGAGATTATAACAGTCAAAAGGCCTTTGGCTAAAATGAAAAAAGTCATAAAGCTCCTTTCACTCATAAAAGATGATGGATAAGCAGTTGTGAGAGAGAGATTGCAGTGTCTTTTTAGAAGAGTTAAACATATCATTAAAAAATATTTTCTCTATTAAAAAATACGTAAGGTATAAATCATTAAAAAAAGAAGAAGATAAAGATGTGTTTAAGTGGCTCAGACCTAAGCAAAAAGTATGGAATAAGCACAACTGACCACTAAGCTAGCTTTTCTTTTATGATTAATTTTACAACATATATTTTACATAACAGACTAACAATATAAATGAATAAAATTAGGTGATCAGCTGGACGCCTAGGCAGGGTAGCTCAGGCATGTTGCATAGGCGCCCAAAACCAATTTTACGACTACATTCTGAATGTGGTATTCTATATACATTCCAGGGATTTGGAAAGCTCAATCTGGCAATTGTGTTGTAAACCTTATGATATCTACTTTTTGTCAATGATAACATGTTCATTTGTTTGTTTCTTCATTTCAGGTATTTGGTTGGGGCAGAGGGGAACATGGAAGGCTTGGATTTGGAGATGACAAGAGCAGTAAAATGGTGCCTCAGAGGGTTCAACTTCTTGTTGGGGAGGGCATTGTTCAGGTGTCATATGCATTACCAACCCAAACTATAACCTTCAAGTACCTTAACTGAATTATTGGGTGTTTGTGACACCAGATCAAGAGACATTGTTTGATGTCTTATCCACAGTCTAATGGCATAAACGTATTCTTTAAAATGGTGTCAGCACAATGAAAAATAAACCATTCTCTTCCAAGTCATGCCAACGGTAATTGAGTTAGTAAAGGAAGTCATTTTTTAAAAGCCAAAAATCATTCCGTATGCCATAGAGATTTGATGCATGTGCTATGAAAAGAAATTGGGTTCATTACAGAAGGCAATTGAAAACAATGTGACACGATTGATTTCATTTGCCTTTTTTGTCCAATTGGCACCTCATTCTTTGCTTGCTTTTACTCCTGTGTTTCTCTGAGAGAGAAATGTCTTTCAGTTAGTCATCCTTCCTGGCGAAGCAGAAGGAATGCCCAACCAGCCCCTACTCGTGGTTGAGCACGGACCTACTCTTTGCTTCTGGGCACATTGATCTGAAACTTGAGTATGGTCCATGCACTGCAGCTCTGCACGAAATATGTAATTCTGCACAGAGTTTTAATTTGAATTTATGTAACTAAAGGGGAAACATATGTAACTGATGTTTGCCCTTTGCAATGCTACAACAGAAGCCGATCAAAAAAAAAATGCTACAACAGGAGAGAAATATCAATTGATTAGGTGTTATATTTTCATAGAAATTTAATCACCTCCTTTTTTTGTGTGCATCTTTTAAACTTGTAAAGTTTAATATTTTTATTTGTGATATAGGTGTCTTGTGGGGGCACCCATTCAGTTGCATTGACCCGTGATGGCCGCATGTTTTCGGTAAGTGTTGGGAAGTAGTTTGTTCGTTTCATGACACTTAAAAGCCTATTCAACAGAAATCAAATGTAGAACTCATCATATAGTTACTAAACAAATTTTGGTTGTTTGTTACTATCATGGGTAGGTTCAATGCCTTCGATTATATGCTCAACTTGGTTAATATTCCCAACTTTATGTGACCTTGCCACTTGCCAGCATGTAGTGTTATTAAGCATGTTCAAATATTTAATATCCTTTTGAGATTCCCCACATAAATCTTGGCATTATATATATTTTTTGCTTCTCTTGTTTTCCTGCTGTATTTTCTTTGATTAGAAAGTGATTGTTTTGATTAGCTGTTGTAAGATAGATATGTTGATTAGTATTGCAATTGGCAGTTTGGACGAGGAGACCATGGACGGCTAGGATATGGGAGAAAAGTAACTACTGGTCATCCCTCAGAGGTGCCCATAAACCTCCCACCCCCAAGAAATCTGAGCGGCAGTGAAGCTGATGGCCGTTGGTGCGCAAAGCTTGTCGCTTGTGGTGGCCGCCACACTTTGGCAATAGTGGAATGGCATGAATCTGAACAGTTGAACTGAGGTGTGATGCTATCAAATTATCCTATTGAAGCCTAATTGATTTAGAGTTCTGCATTACTAAACTACCATTCATGATAAAATTATGTCGTGTTCACCGGAGAATGGGAAAAACTATACGAACTGAGGTTGGAACACCTATTGCAATTTAGCATAGAATATAATGGGTGTATAAATCCCATATGTTTAAACTCTTTACACTTGATTATGTCGTGTTTGAAATGTTGGGATAGTTGGATCGGTAAAGATAATCTTCCCCTCACTGGATTGCCTTTTTGTCTGTTTTATTTATATAGGAATCATCTTCTTAAGCATTTGACAGATGAGAAATATTTGATCAATATATATTTATTGCTGTCCATTTCTTGGTCAATTTTGTACACAAAGGGTGGCACAGTTTTCGCCATGTATGTTGCACCATCACCATGTTTATTTATTTATTTTTGTTAAAAGGGAATATTTATAAATATACCAGAGTTTTAGGTCATGTTTGCTTGTGTTTTTATTATTTTTTAAAAAACACATTAAACTTTTATTGGAACCTGTTTTTGAGATGATCATTTTGAAAATGAGTGATTTTTCAAGAAACGCTAAAGTTGGCTGACTATTGAAAATTTGTTTTTACACAATAACGAAAGTGGTATAAAAATTATGAAGATGGTTATGAACTTTTTAATGATTGTTTTTAAAAATATGAGAACAAAGAAAACAATTCCTCCAGCATCGTTGTTCCATATGCATTCCACAAGCCCTTTTATCTGTGTTTTCTTCTACCTATGTTTTGTTTAGTCTTGATCTTGTTTTTTGTTTGTACTTTATTTGTCTTATTAATTAAGTTCTTACTTTTGCCTTCAAAAAAAGAAAAAAAAAAAAAACTATCTTATAACCATCAATTTTGATTTTGTTCTCAAAACGTAAATAATTTTTTTTTTTTGATTTTGTTCCCAGAACATAAATGAAAACACAAGAGCATTCTAATAAGAGAACATAGGAAAGAAAAGATAGAAACAAATCTACTTCACCCAAATGATGACACATTAAGCCTCAAGCTTGATAGCACCAACGCACCATCACTAATCGCTCAATGGTGTTTGTAATTTTCGTTTAAGCCTACATAAGCCGACTTCAATCTTAGACGCTAAATTCTACCACCAGCAGAGTGTACATGATTTTCAAAAACTCCAAGTTTGTACCATTTGCATTGTAACATCATACCCTGCAATGGCTGAGACCGTGTTGAAACTGTTAGTTTTGATCTAGTCTTTAGGATCTGTTTTTGATTAATTGCTTCGTGGTTTGAATAATTCCTATTCTTTAGGGACAAGTTGTTTGTTTCCTAGTCACTTACCACGTTAATAGGGTGGGCTGCAGTTTATTTCTCTTTTATGTTATTCTTGTAAAGCTATATATATCTAGTTCAGCTGTTTAATTGAATAAGAGAACATTCTCCCAATTTGCTTACGTTCACTTGATAAATACAAAGAGTTTTTTAACACTTGGTATCAGAGCCTCATCATAGGGGCTAGTTAAGAAGTAGCAGTCTTCTAAGGTGCTTAGTAACGAGAATATGATGACTGAGAGTGGATTTGTGCAACTAGCAATCCCAAAATTCGATGGGCATTATGATCACTGGTGTATGCTCATGGATAATTTCATGCGATCGAAAGAATATTGGAGTGTGGTGATAGGTGAGATTCCTGCAGCAGTAGAAGGAGTTCAACTCACTGATGCATAGAAGAAGGTGATTGATGATGCAAAGTTGAAGGATTTGAAGGCAAAGAATTATCTCTTCCAGGCCATAGATCGATCGATCGATCCTGGAAACCATCTTGAACAAGGCTACAACCAAAAGTATTTGGGATTCCTTGAAGCAGAAGTATCAGGGGACAGCATGAGTGCAGTGAGCGCAACGACAAGCCCTCCAAAAAGAGTTTGAGATGTTAAACATGAAAGTGGGAGAGTTTGTGAATGAATACTTTGCTCGTACTCTTGCTGTGGTCAACAAGCTGAGAACCAATAAGGGAATGATAGACGATGTAACAGTCATCGAGAAGATTTTGAGATCCATGACACCCAAGTTCGATTACGTGGTGTGTTCTATTGAGGAGTCAAATGATTTGGATGCTCTTACCATTGATGAGTTACAAAGTAGTCTTCTAGTACATGAGCAACGTATGAAAGCTCATGTTGTGGAAGAGCAAGCATTGAAGGTTACTATTAGAGAGTCTTCAGGGGAAAGAAGACGAGGTTGTGGCGGATTTCAAGGACGAAGAAGAGGGGGAGGCAAGTGTAGCTTTGACAAATCCATTGTTGAATGCTATAATTGCCATAAGCTTGTACACTTTGCATTTGAATGTCCAAAGAATGAGACAAAAGCCAAAGAAAACTATGTGGAAGGTAAGGAAGAACTGTTGTTAATGGCATACGTATTGTAAAGCTATATATATCTAGTTCAGCTGTTTAATTGAATAAGAGAACATTCTCCCAATTTGCTTACGTTCACTTGACAAATACAAAGAGTTTTTTAACACTTGGTATCAGAGCCTCATCACAGGGGCTAATTAAGAAGTAGCAGTCTTCTAAGGTGCTTAGTAACGAGAATATGATGACTGAGAGTGGATTTGTGCAACTAGCAATCCCAAAATTCGATTGGCATTATGATCACTTGTGTATGCTCATGGATAATTTCATGCGATTGAAAGAATATTGGAGTGTGGTGATAGGTGAGATTCCTGCAACAGTAGAAGGAGTTCAACTCACTGATGCATAGAAGGAGGTGATTGATGATGCAAAGTTGAAGGATTTGAAGGCAAAGAATTATCTCTTCCAGGCCATAGATCGATCGATCGATCCTGGAAACCATCTTGAACAAGGCTACAACCAAAAGTATTTGGGATTCCTTGAAGCAGAAGTATCAGGGGACAGCATGAGTGCAGTGAGCGCAACGACAAGCCCTCCAAAAAGAGTTTGAGATGTTAAACATGAAAGTGGGAGAGTTTGTGAATGAATACTTTGCTCGTACTCTTGCTGTGGTCAACAAGCTGAGAACCAATAAGGGAATGATAGACGATGTAACAGTCATCGAGAAGATTTTGAGATCCATGACACCCAAGTTCGATTACGTGGTGTGTTCTATTAAGGAGTCAAATGATTTGGATGCTCTTACCATTGATGAGTTACAAAGTAGTCTTCTAGTACATGAGCAATGTATGAAAGCTCAGGTTGTGGAAGAGCAAGCATTGAAGGTTACTATTAGAGAGTCTTCAGGGGAAAGAAGACGAGGTTGTGGCGGATTTCAAGGACGAAGAAGAGGGGGAGGCAAGTGTAGCTTTGACAAATCCATTGTTGAATGCTATAGGCGGATTTCGAGAAAGAGGAGGAGGCAGGCGTAGCTTTGACAAATCCACTGTTGAATGTTACAATTTCCGTAAGCTTGGACACTTTGTATCTGATTGTCCAAAGAGTGAGAGAGAAGCCAAAGCAAACTATGTGGAAGGTAATGAAGAATTGTTATTGATGGCATACGTGAATGATACGTATGTGAATGATAGGAAAGCCAACAAAGAAGAACTGTGGTTTCTCGACTCTGGATGCAACAATCATATGTGTGGCAAGAGGGAACTCTTCTCATATTTTGAAGGCAATTTCAGGGAGAAGGTGAAACTGGGAGATAATTCAATTTTTTAGGTCTCCCACGGTATCCCTAGGTTTTTTGGACCCAGGACTAATCCGCCGAGGAACCTGTTGGGCACATATGCGGGGTCCTCTCCCAATGGGGTTTGCTGCATCCACAAAGGCTCGAACTCGAGACTTTTGCTTAAGCGACCCAAGTCTCTTTCCACTTGAACCAACCCCCATTGGTTAAATTGGGAGATAATTCAAGCATGGATGTAATGGGTAAAAGTATTGTGAGAATGCTGGTGAATGGTTTTGTACAGATTATTACTGGCGTATTCTATGTTCCAGGAATAAAGAACATGTTAGACTTATTTATTTTGATATTTTGATGATTTATTTAATTATGTTTTAATTTATTTGAAAGAGACAAATAGAATTCAAAATTTATTTTAATGATTTATTTAATTATATTTTAATCAAAATTTATTTTGATGATTTATTTGAAAGAGAAAAATAGAATCAAAATTTATTTTGTCCCATTATTTCTCACCTAAACCTTTATCCTAAATGTTGTTAGAATGTATTTAATATTTGATTAAATCAGGAGTTTAAACAGCCCAAAACAAAGGTTCAAACAGCCTAGCACAACAGCAGGCCAAAAGGTTCAAAAAGTTCAAGTGAAAGATTTTCAAATTAGTAATGATGGAAGTACAACGGCTATAAAGGTTCAAAATGCCAAAATGTTCAAGTGGAAGATATTCAAATTTGTAATGATGGAGTGGAAGATATTCAAATTGGTAATGATGGAAGTACATGTAACAACCCTCATACTGTTTACTGATTAATGACTGACCGATTACCGATAATCACCGATTACTGCTAAACGGAACTGATGATGACTGATAACTGACTGATAATTGAACTGATTAAAGTACTGAACTGACTGACTGAAATTGGAAACTGAATTGACTGAGTATATGTTAGTTAATTGCATTCTATCTGTTTGATTGTCTGATTATCTGTTCATGTTTATATGTTTAAACTGCTAATTGAAGGCCTTATCGGCGGCCAAACTGGGAATTGATTAATGTTTTATGATCGTCATATTTAATATGATTTTATGGTATAATTATCTGAAAACTGATTAGGTATGATTAAATTAGATTAAAATGAGTTGATTGCAAAGTTTGCCGTAATTACCTAAATGCCACTTAAGTGGCCCACTACTTGGCTCATCTCATTACACTCGTACATACACATTTCATCAGCTCATTCTTGAGCACAGCACCGACTAGAGAGAGAGAAATAGAGAGTGAGAGGGAATTGAGTTGAGTTTGAGTTCATTGGTGGAATTGCTTGGTAATTGTAGTGTAGATTGCTAATTTGAGCCTCTAGCCTTGCATTGGAGACCTAAGGTAGAGTGATTACTCTCTTGTTTGTGTATTTGAGCTTGATTCTTGCATGGTTCATGTTAATTTGTAGAGCTAAGTCATGATTCGGTTCATTAATGGTGGATTGAAGCTCAATCCTTGCATGCATGTTAGTTTCGTTGAAGTTTTGAGGTTGTAGTTCATAATGCCTCACATGCATGTCCATCTTTTGGTCATACTCCATGAGTTCATCTTGTTTTGAAGGTTTGAGCTCTTTTGAAACAGCATTGAAGCTTTGAAAATGATTTAAGATCATGCATGTCATGTTTGATCATTTTGTAAAAGTGTTGCAAACACTGTGTTCTTGAAATCT